AACCGGCTTAGCACTTCTTGCTGAAAGCTCAACTCCTTCAATCTACTGGGATTGTGCGTTTGAAACTGCAACGTACTTGATTAATTCTCTACCATCTTCCGCTATAAACAATCAAAGTCCGTACTATCGACTATATAAAACTCAACCACCATACACTTTCTTTCGTGTATTCGGGTGTCGCTGCTATCCCTATCTACGGCCTTATAATCGGCATAAGATGGAATACCGGTCGATGCCCTGTGTCTTCTTAGGTTACCCAGTTTCCTATAGGGGATACTGTTGTCTTGATCCAATTACGGGAAAAGTCTTTATCTGTCGGCATGTCCGATTTGACGAATCCATATTTCCCTTTGCTATGCAGTCTGATGAACAGGTTGCTGCTAGCCCATCAACTCCACCTTGGGGATCCGGGCCAATAGTTGTGGGTTCACAGTCCGTGCCCACTGCTGTGGAGTTGCCTTTAGCACAAGAGCCGAGGCCGTTAGCTATTGCGGCTCCGCCAACTTCACCCACCAATGCCAGGACAGAGCCACCGGCTAGGCGGGCCAGAGGCACCCGAAGGCGGGTCCAGGCTGTTATACCACATGCCATGCGCACGAGGCGCCAAACACAAGGCCGGGGCGAAGAGTTCTACGCCCTAACTGCATCCACCGACCCAACTTGTTACTCACAAGCTGTGGGTCACCCAGAGTGGCGTGAGGCCATGGACCAAGAGTTCAATGCCCTCCTACATAATAGCACCTGGGAGCTCATACCGGCCACACCGGATATGAACATCATCGGCTGCAAGTGGGTTTTTCGCACTAAGCGTAAAGCCGATGGCTCGATAGAACGCTATAAAGCACGTCTTGTTGCTAAGGGGTTCAATCAAGTTGCGGGCGAAGACTTCTTTGACACTTTTAGCCCGGTGGTTAAACCAACCACTGTTCGCATATTATTTTCCCTTGCTCTCTCTCACAGGTGGACTATGCGACAACTTGACGTTCACAATGCCTTCCTCAATGGCCATCTTTCAGAAACAGTATACATGAAACAACCCCCCGACTACGAAGATCCAACACATCCTGATCATGTGTGCCGCCTCCAGCGCTCGCTATACGGGTTAAAACAGGCTCCACGTGCATGGTTCAAACGGCTCCACGACTTTCTCATCACTGCTGGGTTTCGAGCCTCTAAAACAGATGTCTCACTTTTCCACTACACTACGGGTTCGTCACGTGTCTTTCTCCTAGTGTACGTAGATGACATCATCATGCTGGGCAACGACACGGATCTAGTCACCACATTGCTGCACCGACTCTCCGCGACATTCAAGATTAGAGATCTTGGACAACCCCGGTTCTTCCTAGGTATTGAAACACTACCAGTTGGGGACACCCTGGTTCTTTCTCAACGTAGATACATGAAGGATATTCTCAATCGCTCCGGAATGACGGACTGTAAAGCTTTGGCCACTCCGGCAGCAGTCACGAAACCGGTCGCTCCCTCGTCTGATCCGTTTGAGAATCCCACACAATACCGCCGGATTGTAGGGGCCCTGCAGTATTTGACTATCACCCGTCCAGATCTTGCCTACTCCGTCAACATGTTGTGTCAGTTTATGCATACACCGACTACTGAACATTGGACTTTGCTTAAACGAGTCATACGGTACATAAAGGGCACACAGGACCTAGGGTTACGACTTACACCATCGGCTTCCGCAGATCTACATGCCTACTCTGACTCAGATTGGGCTGGGTGCCCAATTGATCATAAGTCTACCAGTGGCTATGCTGTGTTCTTAGGTGATAATCTAGTCTCTTGGGTCTCGCGCAAGCAGCGCACCGTGGCTCGGTCCTCGACAGAAGCTGAGTACAAGGGTGTTGCAGATGTCTCAGCTGAAGTGACGTGGGTTATTTCCTTACTCCGTGAGCTTGGGTTACATTCAGGTACTCCTGCAACATTATGGTGTGACAATCTGGGAGCCACCTACCTAGCGGCCAATCCTGTTTTTCATGCTCGCACGAAGCACGTGGAGATCGACTACCACTTCGTTCGTGACAAAGTTGCAAGTGGTGATTTCCTAGTTAACTTTGTTTCCACCAAGGAACAGCTTGCGTATATCTTCACCAAACCGCTACCGGCCCCACGCTATCAGCTGCTTCGAGACAAGCTCAATGTTGTTTCCCTCCAACCTTGTGCTTGAGGGGGTGTGTTAGTAATATAATTAATTATTGCTTTATCTTATACTATATGATTGTATTTCTAGTGGTTGAGATTGAGTCTAATTGTCTAGCCTACAGGATAGGAGAATAATGTGTAGACTTTAGTATAATTTAGACTCTCTCTGTAATTCAGTTCTATCAATTCAGATTATTGTTATCTCATCATCCTCAACATTTAGCGCAGCATCCGTATTAAGTTTTGGCCTCCCATGTGGTGGCCTTGCCCAACCTTCCACAATATGTGAATCCGAGTGGGCAACACCAACTAACAGCTTCTCATTCGCATTTCTCCAACAATCCAGAAACAGCAATGCTCTATGCAGCATAGTACACAAATCAAAATCAATACCATTCCACACACTCTCATTCCCGCTGGTCCACACACCCCAACAAGCCATAACAAACTTTGGTTTTGAACATAAATCTAAGGTGCCCAAAACCCAAAAAAACCAGTCTCCAAGATTATTACCATCGTAGGCACCGACATGCGACATCTCCAGCTTATTCCAAAGCCGAACTAGCTCCCCACACTGGACAAAAAGGTACATGGCCGACTCCTGAACTTGTCTGCACATATGACAATTCAATAAACAAGCTACATTCTTAGTCAATAAAATATCACGTGTTGGAAGGAAGTGGGATGCTAACTGCCAACAAAAACTCTTCACCTTTGGAGGGACATGCAAACTCCAAATACTTGCCCAAGGGCGATCACTTGCAAGCACCAAAGTAAGCTGCTTATAACAAGATTTAACCGAATACGCACTTTTCTGCTCCCAATGCCAAAACCACCGATCACAAGGCTTTCGAATACTGACAGGAATATTCAAAATCAAATTAGCATCACGGGTATTAAATATATCCTTAACACACTCCACATCCCAACCATTACCATGTAAATTCATTAAGGAGGACACCGGGGCCTGATAAACTGTCTGATGCAGCTCCGTTTCTACAAAAGGATTATCATCCACTGGTAGCCAAGGATCCCTGCCAATTATAGTCCCATTAACATCGCCAATCACCCTTCTACAACCCTCCTTCAAGCACTCTTTAACTGCTAACATACCCCGCCATATGTACGACGGATTGCTCCCCTCCCTGGTATAAAAAAAGTCACAGTCAGGGTAATATCGTGATTTAAACACATGTGCCACTAAACTCGTGGGGTTGGAAATCAACCTCCAAGCCTGCTTTCCCAGAAGAGCTTTATTCATCTCATGAAGGCGTCTAAACCCCATTCCACCACACGCTTTTGGCCTCGACAAACCCTCCCAAGAACGCCATCGTATTCCACGGCCATTACTCACATCACCAGACCACCAGTACTGATTCAGTACTACCTCAATTTCCCGGCAAAGGCCCAAGGAGAGCAGAAACACCATCATAGCATATGCTGGCATTGCCTGCAAAACATTTTTCAATAGAACCTCCCTCCTAGCTCTTGACAGGTATTTGGCATTCCAAGAACGAACCCTGGTTAGTATACGATCCTTCAGAAACCCCAGAATGACTTTCTTCCTCCTTCCCACTAGAGAAGGCAAACCCAAGTACTTCCCACTAGTCTCTCCCTCCTACACGCCCAGAACATCAACCACTTCATTCCTTATATTCTGTGGCACATTAGCACTAAAACATGCAGCAGATTTGTCATAATTAACATGCTGGCCAGAAGCCCTAGCATAAGTGTCCAGCACATACCTTATTTGAACGCTTTCTTCCTCGTTAGTCCGAAGGAACAGGAAAGAGTCATCTGCAAAAAAAGAAGATGAGAGACAGAAGGCGCACCCCTCACAACCGAAACACCATGCAATCGGCCCGCAGCCATACTTCTTTCAATCATGGCACTCAACCCTTCTGTGACAAAGAGGAATAAATATGGGGATAACGGGTCCCCCTGACGAAGACCCCTACCAGGTAAAATCGGTCCCAATCGCCGCTGGTCATGTAAGATATGATACCGTACAGAAGTTACCGTTTCAAGCAGAATATTGACTCATCGATCACCAAACCCCAACTTAAGCATCACTGCCCGAAGAAACTCCCACTCCACCCGATCATAGGCCTTGGACATGTCAAGTTTCAAAGACACCACCCCCTCACGGCCCTGGGTCTTCCGTTTCAAGTAATGGTGAATCTCGTAGGCAAGCATGATATTGTCAGTAATTAGGCGGCCCGGAACAAAGGCACTCTGCGCATTCGAAATCAGCTTTTGCAACAAAGGTTTTAAGCGATTAGCACACACCTTAGCCACAATCTTATAGATGACATTACACAACGCTATCGGGCGCAGATCCTTCATAGACTCCAGCCTAGCCTTCTTCAGAATCAGAACATCAAGGGTATCATTAGCACCACCTGGGAGCTTAGCCGAATCCAAGAAGCCCCTGCAGAAAGCGGTAACCTCCCCCCCCGGCCCAAAACCATCAGGACCCGGGGACTTGTCAGGATGCATCTGAAACACCGCTACCCTAACCTCCTCCATACTCAGTGGGCGCAATAACATTGCATTATCATGCTTAGTCACCTTCCCCGATATAGCATCAATTACCTCCTCCATCTCACCATAGTCCGGGGCGAAAAGACCATCTCAGTGGGTAGAAATATTTTATACTCCGTATTAAATTATCTGAATAAGGCTAGAAAAAACAAACTGCTAACCCATTACCAGTAATATAATTTTGAAAATCATGGTTGTTTAGACTTTAGTGTTGACGAGAATTCCTGTCTAAATTCCATCACATCTTTCATTTTTCTTCTTTGTTATGCTCTGATCAGCTACCACATTGACAGGCGCAAATGGCTTATGTTGCTGTAACTTCGCTTAAAGGAACACTCCATCTACTTTTTTTGCAATCACAACCACGCTTGCCTCTTCAAGACAACCAAGAGATTGTTAATTCTCTCCATGAAAATCTTGGTTTCCTCCAAGAAATTTTTGAGAAATCTGAAATCGCCTATGATAATTCGGAAATGAAAGATTTTGAGGCAGAGATGAGAGATGTAGCGTTCGAAGCTGAAAAAAGAATTGAGATGGAATTGAGTAGCCTATATCTTCAATCAAGCAGCATAGCGGTTTGCCTCCTCAGCCTTCATGGAATCTTCAAGGAAGCATTAATACAGACTGATTACCTCAAGAAGAAGTTGATTAATATTAAAAGTAAACACCAGTTTGCAAAGGGTCCATCAATCACTGGTGTTTCACTCCTTGGTTCAACATCATCGCAACCTGCTGATCCAGAACGCCATAATATAACTGTGAGTAAATTTTCCAAAAGCGCTTCACAATTTGACAATAGAATGGTTGGATGCGAGAAGGAATTCAAGACGATATTGGATAAGTTGATCAGGCAACAATCAGCTGAGCAGCTCCAAGTTGTATCAATCGTTGGCATGGGAGGAATAGGCAAGACCACTTTAGCTGGGGAAGTCTACAAGGATCCATCAATTACTTCTTATTTTGACAAGCAAGCATGGGTTACGATATCCCAAGAGTATACCGTGGTGCAAATGCTCAGATGCCTTATTGGTTGTGTCAGTGCATCAAGTGATGATGAACAAAGCAGCAATGATCCAGGCCGAATAGCAGAAAGTCTGCAGAAAAGCTTGAAGGGTCAGAGATATTTGATAGTGATAGATGATATATGGAGCAAAGAAGCATGGGATAGTGTGCAAATGTGCTTTCCAGATGATAATAATGGAAGCCGTATACTACTAACTTCTCGGCTCAGAGAGGTGGCTGAATATGCTGCTAGTTCAGGTAACTCTATCATTAACATGCCTTTCTTAGATGCCAATGAAAGTTGGAATCTCTACTGCAGTGTGTTTGGTAAAACAGAAAGAAATTCGGTGTTTGAGCAAATTGGTAGAGACATAGTGAAAAAATGTAAAGGATTACCTCTAGCTATTACTTTAGTGGCTAGTCTTCTCTCCAAGACAGAGAAGAAGGTGGAAAAGTGGAAGAATGTTGCAGAAACTGTAATTGGTGATTCTAATGAAGCATGCTCAAGTGTGCTATCTTTGAGTTACAACCAATTACCACACCCCTCTAAAGCTTGCTTTCTATATTTGGGAGTTTTTCCAGAAGATTATGAAATCCCTGTAAAGAAGTTAGTTAAGTTGTGGGCAGCAGAGGGATTTTTTGGGGCAGTTAACAATAAGAATATGGAGGAAGTGGCCACGGAATGCTTGCAAGATCTTGTTGATAGAAATCTTGTTCTAGTTGGTAAACAGAGCTACAATGGAAAAATCAAGACAATTAGGATGCACGATCTCTTGCAAGACTTTTGCTTGAAAGAAGCTCGACGTGAAAATCTCTTGAATATCATTGGAAATGATTATCATGGTGCTGTTGCTGGACCCGTAAAACTTCCATTTTACAAGAGGACATCACAGCACTTGTTTTTAAAAGCTTGTCCTTGGATAAGTATTAGACCTGGATATTTCAATATTGAAATAAGATCTAAGTGCGATGACAAATTGCATTCCTTACACTCTGTTGATCATATTGATCACAACATTAATGTGCTTTGTCACTTCAAACTATTAAGAGTAGTAGACATGAAACTTAGATTTTGGAATTCAGAAGATAATGTGCTATATATGGAAAATCTTTTTCATTTGAGATACTTTGCTTTGTCCCTAAACAGAACCATTGGCCCTCTTGAACTAAAACTCCGTGAGCATTGGAATATGCAAAGTTATATTGTTCGTGGATGTAGTGTTATATTGGATTCCTCTGAGGCATCTAGAATTTGGAAAATGCCACTGTTAAGGAATTTTTATGTCGACTTAAATCCTTTTACATTAGAGGCTTCGGAGGTTGTTCATAGAAACATAGAGAGTATATCTTGGTTGCGTCCGAAGTGTTGTACAGAGGATCTTTTTACAAGGATTCCAAATTTAAAAAAATTGGGGATTAAAACTAAAATGTGGCATGGAAATGAAAATTCAGATGGTTTTTGTAATCTTGTGCACTTGGGACAGCTTGAGAAATTAAGCATCAGTGAGTGGGTTGTTAAACTTCCATATAGCGGCATTCTATGGGCAACTAGTTTTCTACCAAATCTTAGGAAGCTCAAATTCATCTTTACTAAGTTTCCATGGAGTGATGTGAGGCTTATTGGTATGTTGCCGAATTTAGAAGTTCTAAAATTGATTGATGCTTGTGAAGGCAAAGAGTGGGAGCCATGTGAGGGAGGGTTCCGTCAATTGAAAAAGTTGGTAATTGGAAGCTGGATTTTGGAAGATTGGATTGCTGTGGGTGATCATTTCCCTGTGCTTCAACATTTAGAGTTAACTGGTTGCAGTTCGTTGCGTGAGATTCCTATTGCGTTTGCCGATATTACCACACTTGAATTGATTAAGTTAAATAGATGTTTGCATTCTATTTTGGCTTCTGCAAAGCGTATTCAAGATGAGCAGCAAAGCTATGGAAATGAAGCCCTCCTTGTTCAGTCTAGAAATATATTCAGGTCTCTTTCTATCCCTGCCTCCATTATATTTCTGACCGTTTCACATTTCATGCTATTTAAATTCTTTGCTATTCCTCAAAAAAGTATGTGCATGCTTTCTCTCAATTTTCTGTATCTCATATTTCCTTACCTATATAAATGTGTCCACCTGCATTTTTTTTAATAACCATTAGTTTATTGTTTCTAGCCTCCAGTAAGAGTAACATCTCAAGTGAAGGGATAGAGAGTGAGGAATGAATAAGGCAGGGTAGGTACGTACTTAAATAACTCCATCTCTTGTATACTATTTGCATACACCTGTTTAATTTGTTTTGTTTCTACTCTACTCTACCCTAGTTTAATTTTATATATAATCACCAAACAAACTAAGTGCATGCTTTTAATCTTAATCTTTCGTTTCTCCTTAACATCTAATTCTTAAACAGATACAGACTACTACGGTGATTGGGAGGGATGAAAAGTTAAGAGGCACAAAGCTAAGCAGAGATGATGATGATGATGGATATGATGTTGTGTGTTGTTGGGTGATGATGGATGTTGGAGTAGCATAGCATAGCAGGAGTTGTACTATATATGAATCTGCCTGCCACTGGTTTTTGTACTGTACTTGTTGTGGGTTTATTGCTATGGTTATTTTGTTGGATTACTCGGAACTGATTTTTTTTTTTTTTTTGTTGGGGGGTGGTGGGGGGGGGGCGGGTGGGGGTCTTTTAAACTATAAATCAAGTGAAGTTGTATTGTTTGGCCATGAACCATATGATGCACATGCTATATTACAACATAGGAATGGACCTACTTTATCTTTTGTTAGTTAAGGCTTTTATTTATTACCAGAAATGAATGAATGAGCTGTTTGGAGAGGTAATTAGTTTTCTACTAAATCTTTAAAAGAAGCTCAACTTCATTAAGACCTGTCTGCATGGTGAACCTTATTGTTATATATGTTGCAAGCTTGGCAATATGGCACTTGAGGAAAATGTTCAAACTTTGGGATTGCAATATACCAATATTTTTCAAATAAAAAAAAAAGAGAAATTAAATAAAAGATGCTCTAAATCAACAATAAAGGTGGTTTCAATCCGCCCAAAAACCATCATAATATGATCTCCTCTCATTTGGCAAAATTTCAGTTTGAAATTCAATTTTAATTTTCCTTTTTTTTTTTTTTAAGACAATGAAGATTAGGCCTTAGTTATGCATATTAGGCTTTACGTACTATTAAGAAAGTTTTTTCTTTGAAATGTAACCTCAATTGTCATACCTTATACCATGGACTAGGATTCACATGTTGGTATGTTCACTGTTGGAAATTAATGAATTTCCGACCACCGCAAAATATGGTCGGAAAACTGACTTTTTCTCATTTTCCGCAAAGGTAAGAGATGGCCGGATAGATGTCAGAATATCCGACCACTATATGATGGTGGTCGGAAATATCCGACCATCCGACCACCTTTGTAGGTGAAAGGTGGTCAGAAAATGTTGGCAGTTTGAATTTTAAATTGGTTTTCGTTTTCAATTACTAGCAAAGGTGGTCGGAAATACCTTTATATATATATACCTTCCTTGCGCATTTCCAGACCATATTTCTCTAGGTTTTTTTCCCCCTCCTACTCCTTTTTTCATTGTTGCAGGGGATGTTGAAAAATCGTTAGCCACCCCCTAAGCGCTTAAGGAGTGCCTAGTGCTTAGGGCGCCCGATTTGAGTAATCTGCATATGCCGTCAATATTTCATCGTCCTCTTACAATGCAACACAATATTTCAATATTTCATCCATCCAAAGCACATGGCGTCCCTACATACAAATGATACAATGCAACCAGGACATGCAATTGCAATCACAGAACTCAAAGCCAACACGTGTCCCTACTCCCTAGTCTTTGACACGTGCCCCAAGTCTTCCCCAACAATATAATGCAGCTCACCATTTTTCATATCATTTGTTTATTTATTTCAATTGGGAGGATTATTGCTAGACATCGAAGTCTCCGTCGCAGGTGAGGATTCTATCGAAGACTCCGTTGCCGGACATCAAAGAATCTACGACCATCATGGTGGAAACAACAGACGATGTCTTCTAGCCGCTTCTTCTTTCTAAACTTTAAATAACGGACGACGGACTGGCGGAGGCGGTGACAAAGGCCTTTGGGCAGACTGGCGGAGGACTGATATGTGGCGTATTGGTGGAGCAGAAGCAAAGGCGGAGGACTGACGTATGGCGTACTGGCGTCTCGCACTTGCGTTTGAAAACTCCGGTGAGAAAATCAACCGGCTAGGCAGAACGAAGCAGAGAAAAAATTGCACACTAGTGCCTATGCCGCCTAGGCGCCCGGTCGCCGAGGAGGCCGATTTCAGCATTCCTCGACTGCCTAGCGCCTATGCGCGATTTTTGCAACTTTGGTTGTAGGTATTCTTTCAATAAATCATCCATAATAGTGCTAAAATCAAGTTCTACTACATCATGTCAAGCTAAGGTATGTGTGTATATTCTTAGATCTACCATTTAATAATATTTTTTTTTAGATCTAGCTTTGATTTTTTTTTGAATACTTATTTAGATTATTTATCTTAAGATTGGATAATATATTGTGTTCATATATGTATATGTGTTTGTATGTCTATATGTTTATAATTATTTGCATATTTATGTTTTTTAACATTGCATATTATATGTGTGTATATTTGTTAGTATGCTTGTATATAATTACTTAAAATATTATTATTATTTGTAATATATTTATATATGTGCATGTTTGTATTGTATATATGCTTTTGCAGTTGTTTTATATAGCTAATATACTTGAACATCGAAAATGGATGTATAATCGATTGTTACCCGCAAAAAGGGATACACTAATGAGTTCTTAATGGGTGTTGATGAATTTGTAAACGAGGCTTCAATGAAGATTAGGTGCCCATGTAGTAAGTGTAAAAATAGAGTACATTGTTTTGCAGATGATGTTCGTGTTTATTTGTATAAGAAGGGTTTTGAACCAAATTATTGGATTTGGACATGTCACGGCGAGCTTGCTCCCTCAATACAACCACATATGGATGAGGGCCTTAGTGAAAACAATCGGTATGAACAAATGGTTTTTGATGTATCTGGTGCATCATTTGTTCCATTAAATGTAAAAACTGACCAAGACGAAGAACCACATAGTAGTGCAAGAAACTTTTACGATTTGTTAAATGTTGCAAGACATTGATGATGATGAATATCAAGACAACTTTTAATATTCCAAAGAAAGCAATGGATCAGATATTTCAAATAATAACCGTATGATGGTTCCCGATAATCAAGTACCTACTAGGTATTATGATGCAAAAAAATTACTTACGAAGCTTAGTCTTGGACATGAGAAGATTGATTGTTTTGTAAACAATTGTATGTTGTACTATAAGTCTGAAATCAATGATAGACACTGTAAGTATTGTGGTGAGCCAAGATTTAAACCTTACCCATCTAAATTTACTTGTGCAAAAGATGTGCCCCGCAAAAGAATGCATTACCTTCCTCTCATCCCTCGATTGCAACGTTTGTGTAATTTTGCATTTCCTCAATTTAAGGATATTAATGGGATTAAATGACTGATGGATTAAACTGACAGAATCAACGATGATATCAGTCAGTTAGATAGATAGCTGATTTGTTTGCAGAAAGAGAACTAAGGCATACAGCAAAAGAAACAACACACAAGATGTTTACCCAGTTCGATACAGTGTGTATCTACTTCTGGGGGACGATCACAGAAGTGTCCAATCCACTAACTCATAATCCAATGTACAAAGGTAGAGAAACAACAATCTCACCCAAGTGCCCCACACAATGTACGTACCCAGTCTTCACAGATTTAGTGGATTGTTGAAGTTGGAGAGCCAAGCATGCAGAAGTCCAATGAAATCCCTTCACTTGGAGAGCTAACTCTGATGCAGTCCGCTTCAGTGATGCAGTCCAAAGTTGTTCCCACAACTGTGTGATCTTAGCGTCCTTTTCGTTTAAGCAACGATATCTTCTCAAGTTCTTCATCATAATCAACAAGAACAAATTGTCTTGAGAAGAGGCAAGATAATCAAAGATGTGGTCTCTTAGTATATGTCAGAGTGTTTTTTTCTTCTCAAAAGCGTAACCGTAATTCATGACCGAATAAGGGTACTTATACTTCCATAGCAAGAACACTTTCCAAATGCATCTCTGATTGTAGATGGTAGGAAGATATGAGAATAATGTAATCTTAAAGATTCGGTCCATACCTTTCCAAGACAGATCCGCTGATATTCTTTCCAAAGCTGACTTCTTAAACCGCGTTCAGTAAAAAGGAAACATCTTCCTAAAACAGATCTTCAGTGTCAGTACGTCTGTTGCTGTATCTGATCAATCAGTCTTCTGTAACACAAACCGATACCAAGCTAACCCTATCTTAGGGGGGTGTATTCAATCATGACTTTCATAGAGTTTTAAAAACTTTTATGAACTTTAAAAGTTTGGAGGTATTCAATTCAAACTTTTAGAGAGTCTTTAAAAGTCAGGCGGTATTCAATTAAGATTTTTAAAGAGTCTTTAAAATTCGTGTGGTATTGGATTAAGATTTTTAAAGAGTCTTTAAAAGTCATGTGGTATTCAAAAAGTTATGAACTTTTGTAGACTTTTTAAGTTTAAGACTTTTAGAGACTTTTCCTTCTCAAATATAAATAATTGAAATCCACCCATCAACCCCAAAATTTCAAAATTTCTTTCTAACAACTTTGAATATTTTCTCTCTTCATTTAAACTCTATTTTTTCTCCCTATTCAAATTCTATAAACCTATCTAAATTCAATAAAATTAATTTTTTCTTCATTATCCTATATTTTCCTCATATCTAAACTCTACCAATTTTTCTCTCTCTCCTAAACTTTACAATCTTCATCTAAAATTTTGAAATAATATTATTTTTACTTCATTATTACTTGTTTATATTGCTTTTTATTTTTTCTACCAATTTTTTATCCATAACTTTCTCTAATTCTCCCTAAATACATGAACAAAGTAATCTTTTCTATCGTCAAATTTTATTCATAATATTCATATAAAGACTTATATATTTTGATTTTTTTTCTTTTTATGTTTATATTCGTAATATATATTTTTCTTTTTTTTTTTTTTAACAAGTTACTACGAATAGTGAACTACTGTTCGCAACAACAATTCGGGTTTGCAAACAGTAACGCATTGTTGTTGTTTCGCAGTCTCAAATTGCTATTGCAAATAATAGTAATTTGTGTGATGCCTAGCAATATATCAAGTATAATTATATATATATATATATATATATATATATATATATATATATATATATATATATATATATATATTAATATTAGATTTTTATTTTTTATTTTATGCAACTTGTAATTATATTTTTAAATATTTTATTTGATAAATTTTTTTATTATAAATTTTATTGTTCAATATTGTTATGAATTTCTAATAAATTTTTTTATGTTTATTAATAATATATATATAAGTAATTAGCATATAAGTCTCAACATACTATTGATAAAATTAATAATGTTGATGTGAGTGAAGAACTATATAATAAGAAGAATTTTATAATATATTATAAATGTTTTGTAAGAAAATTATAAATGATAAGAATCAAAATCATTGAAAGTTTGTAAGGATGTATTCAATTTAGAATTTCAATGACTTTTGTAGACTTTTTAAAATAAAAAGTTGATAAAAGTCTATGAATGTTTTTTATATAGACTTTTATAGAGTCTTATAAAGTTGTAAAAAGCTTTGAACGATTCTATGAAAGTCAATCAAAGTTTATTAAAATCCATCATTTAAAAGTCTTTAAAATTCTACAAAAGTCATGATTGAATACACCCCCCTTAGATTGCCATAATAATATTGCCAATTATATGTTGGGGGTTTTTTGAGCTATTAAAACACTAACAAACTCCCCCTTTGGCTATTATTTGGCAAAATAACTCGACTAAGATAAAACGACAAACTAGACAGGACAAAGATAACAAATGCATAAAAGTCAAGGACCTGAATTACAAAACATAACAAAAAGACAGCATACAAACTAGGCTGAACCAAAATAACATTCTTCATACGAGAGGTGCCATCACAATCAGACGCCTAGTTAGGGCCAGAAGGTACAGATTCCTAACAAAACACTCCCCTGAGTTCCACACTCCCCCCTTTTGGCAAAAAATAGACAAAGAACAGTCAAGCATTGGAGGGGTCCTCACTGTCAGACTTAGCAGCATCAGCAGTAGCAGATTCAGTCAAGCTCAAGCGGAGAAAAATGGTAGCTAATTCAGTACGGGCCGCAGTCAGCTGCTTCGCAATAATTCCATGAACAATCTCAAGATCAGATACCTGGGCCTTCAGGCGAAGAGAAAGTTGAACATCCCTCGCATGTGGAGAATCAGCATCCACATTGTCAGCGTCAGAAGAGGGAGGAGGATTCACCGGCGTAACGTCTCGAATGTGCTTTCCAATCAGAAGAAGATGATCAACAGTATACAGAAGAGTTGGACTGATAACCTCACTAGGCATTAACACAAGTCCCTGCGTTGTCAGAACCCCAAATATAAGGTTAGGAAAAGGTAACCTTACCTTCTGTTCTCGCGGATGTATCAATGTGAGGATATGATAAAAGATCCATGACCCTAGGTCAATCGACATTTTAGTCCCAATCCGAAACAGGAGAGCTGCCAATTGCTTGCCAACCGTATGAAAATGAGCAGATAGTAGCCAGTTGTGAAGAGCAATACGGTGCAGAATGACATATTTGGAGGTGAGTTTAGAGCTAGACGGAGTATCAATGTCACCCGTAGGCCATTCAAAGGTTTGTCCACCTGTTACGGTCCTTGCCACTAAATCCCAGTCCGTGATTTCTTCTTCATCAACACGCTTCAAACCATAATATTCATTTATCACATCTGGACCAAAGACATACCATTTTCCCCAGATGAAGATTTGCATGCACCGTGTCCCTGTCAAATTATCAATCTCCTCATTAAGATTACAATAGAACTCGTAAATTAGTAGCTTCGAGTAGGGACAGATAGAGGTGACAATCTTCAAGAGGCCTACTTCACTCAGCAAGGGCAAGATGTCACAAACAGAGTTCAACTGGTTTTCATCGACTGACCTCTGAACAATAAGATCTCTCCGGATCATCGTGGACCATTTTCCTTGAGCAGAAGAGGAGACAAACTGAGGTTTATAGATGTTGGTGTCAGGATTCTCCGCAGTAGGTTGAACCTCAGGTGTGATACTTCGTCCTCTTGAGTGAGTAGTTGGTTTTCCCTTCCGGGTAGAGGTAGTAGGAACCACAACAGGTGCCTTGTTCTTGACAAAGGATCGTAGGGTTTTGAACACTTGTTGCACGGGAGGATTAGCTTCAGGTTTTACTGATTCAGTGGACTTTCTTCTCTTCTCAGGTTGAGCCACATCAAGATTGTCATCACTGGATTCAACAACAACTTTTGCAGGGACACTCTTACGTTTGGATTTTCTAATTTCCTTGGATGGGGAAGGCTCAGAAGGACTTTGTAACACCCCGTGTTACGATCCCTAAAACCAATTAATCATTTAACCAATTACCCAAAAGAAAGAATTAAATCACAATAATTAATTAGGAAAGGCCCACCATAGTCCACGGGCCCTTATCCCTAACCCAATCCTTAGTCCCAAAAGGAATAGAATTAGCAAGCCTATAATATTAGTTCCTAATTAGGACTCCTAAATATATAAATAGGGGACTTAAGAGGCACCTAGAACCCCCCACCACAATAATCCCTCACCACACAAGAAAGTTCCAAGAATTCCCCTAGGAGAAATCAAGAAAGAAGAAAGCTTCAAGAAAGACCCTTCATAGCCAAGGAATTTATTAAGGCTAAAAGGTAACCCATGTCTCAACAAAACCTATTTTCATAGCTATGATTCCCCTCTTAGGATTTCCCCATACTATTGTGTATTGATGATTTGTGATATTATTATTGATGATTGATGGGATGATTCCATGGGTGATCTTGATGATGAAAGGTTCTTATGGTGTTCTTGATGATTATATGACGTTCTTGATGATTATATGATGTTCTTGATGATTGTAGGATGTTCTTGATGTTTATGTGATATTCTTACCGAATCTTGATATTAGAAGATGAATTGTGTCCTTGTTGATTTAAAAATGATTAGAACCCTAGGTTGTATCGTATGAAATTATTCTTGGTATATTGGGTGGGAATTCGCATGATTGGGTGTTGATTATGTTTAGAAAAGTATGATAGGTTATGTGCCATATGTTTCTCGATCTTTGATCCGTTAATTGTCTACGTGTGTTATCAATTGCGTTTGAAAGTGTCTAAGCATGGTTTCGGGTTCCACAAAGGTTCCCGGGACGTTTTTGGTAAAAAAGAGTCAGTGGGGGGTAGGGGACCCGC